GAGCAGCAGTCATAACCAATTCCCCCGTTGATTACTCCCGGTGTCTGTGATGGCTCCCCAATATGCCTACTCATGGCAATTATAATGGCCCCGAGTGCCGCAGCAGAGTTAAGCCCGGTGACAGTGTTTCGGAGCTAGGAGCTAGGAAAATACAGAAAGAAATTTGTTGTGAAGCTTATGTAATGTGTTTTCAGAAGTATAACTACAAATATTTAAGCTTTAAATTTAAAATTTATTTTCTTTGGGTGCATATTCATGCTTTCGTTTGTCCTTAAAAGTTCATATTACCCATACGACATGGGGATTCAGCTGTTGCTCAAAAGTTTAATAAGAGTAAAGCAAAATTAAAAATGTCACAAAGTATTTATGGTTTATTCCTAAAGTTATTTTCAGTTACATAACAAAATGTAAATAAAACTTTACGTCAAGTGAAGTCATAGAAATATTTTCTTCGTTTGCAAATACAATTTAACATTTTTCAAGAGTGTAATCTCACACCTGTCCCGCAGCCATTCTTGTTAGGTGCTTGGCACATTTCCTAAATTAACCTGGCCGAAACCACCCACCGGCACATTCACTCACACATGAGGGGCGTTAGTTTAAGCGGCTTGCGTGTTTGACAGTGCGTTGTTCATATGTGTGTGTGTGATAACCATTTCTATTGCCTATCTTTTGGGGGAGTACGAGCCACATGGACACCCAGACAGACAGACACGCAGTCTGTGGGTGTCACGTTTCGCCATCCAAAACATCCGCTGTGAATGGCATACGCAAAATACCAAACAAAACAATGACAAAACCAACTATATATAGTATATATATATTTATATGTATGGGTCGCCTGACATGGCAATGACTTCATTTGGATAGAATTCGGGCTTATACGGTGCCATTGAAAAACCAAACAATCAAATGGCAAAGTTTTGCAGTTTTTGCGCCAATAAAATTCAATTGCCCGATGGCCAAATGTCTAATTATGGCTCAGTCAATGGGGAAACTTCATTCTGTGAATCTAAAGGGGTAAATGCAATTGGCGGCTCCATTGCAGATGTAAAACTCAATTACATGGCACTATTGCCAACGCAGTTGCTGGTGGAACATTGCAGTTACAATCCTGCCAGCAACATGCATGTGATTCCACATTTCCTGCCACTGACATTCTCGTTTGGCCAGCCACTTGGTGGCCATAATGTGCGGCCTGCAATGTCAGAGCAAACACCGCAACAGCAGCAACATCAACGGAAACGGCACCGCAGCAACACCAGCAGCATCAGCACAGGAGCTACATGAAATGCTACGACTGCTTGAGCTCCTTTCTGTGGCTTTTTACACTTTCTGATTTTGAGTTGGCCAACAGAGCTTGCGGGTTTAACTTGTACTTGTAAGCCAAACGACAAGAAGCACAGACCTGATAATGATAATGGTGATGATAGCCGGCTGGAGCACTTGCCAAATCAATTCAGGACATGCGGGTTGCTTTGCTGAAATGTCAAAAAAAGAAGTGAAGAAAATCTCGAATGGAAATTGGCTTTTAGGATAGGAACCTTAGCACCACAAAAAAAAAAATTCGTTGCCTAACCCCAGGCGTTGGCCTTAATGACTCAACTGCGTGTGGAAAACTGATGATGCTGTTTGCCTTTGTCAACTTGTTTGGTTAAAAAATAAATCGAGAGCAGAACTCATTAACCCCCGTCTGACGTCATAACTGCCACGCCCCTTCAAAATCGCCCTAAATGTTTGTGCATACTATTTTCCAATGTGATTATTTGCATGCTGTGCACTGCTGAGCAAACAATTGTCGAAGGAAAGGCAAAGGGCGAAGGGTTGACCGGGAAACGAACCGTTATTGCCACACAATCTCGGTGTGCAAATATTTGGACTGTATAAAAAATCCCACACACACATACACACAAAAATTACAATCCCAGACCTACGCGGGGCGGGGCAGGAAGAAGTTATCGATTTCATTGAAAAACACAGTCTAAATCTGCTGCAGATATTTTAGCTACGGAAAGGAAACAAAGGAAATTCAATAGCAATCACAATATTCAGTTTTACAAATGTCAACATTTGTGCACAAGGCTCGAAATAGTTGGGGATTAAATATTTAGGTAAATTAAGGCCATCAATCGATTTCATTTATGGAAAATAAAGCAATTGATCCTGGCCTACATATTAAATATTTAAATAGTTGAATAACCAACATTGAAATATTAAATATTATTATTTATTCAAACGAATTCATTGAATTGCCAAACTAATTACCAAAAGAGCTTAAACACAATTGAAATTTGTGCAAATATCTAGACTTTTAATTTCTGATGAGGTCAACTATCTATAAATCAGATGCAGTTTCTTATTAGCTTTACTTGACTGTAAGAACTTATGAGCTGAGATCAGGGCAAGGGCAGTTACCATAATAAATTTATAACAAATGACATCGGGCAGCCTAATAAATGTGAACCTATTAGTCCGAGGCCCCAAGCAGTGACCATTTAAGCAACCGAATGCCAATTGAGCACACACACATGCACAGCCAGAAAATGTGGCAGGACAACGATGTGAACATGAAATATTATTTCCTTGTAAGAGCGGAAGAGTGAGCCCGGGTGCTGAGATATATAAATAGTTTGATTTAGTGCCGCTGCTGCAGCAAAAACCATGACTGTGTAAAGCCGCAAGGACATGGTCAGGAGCGAGCATTGGATGCTGATAGCAAGGACCCTACGATCAATTATTGCTCCATGACTGGTGGCTTGTAAACAAGTCATGAAACGTGCCGTTAATTAGTTTCAATCAAATAACCAAGAAATCATTTCGCCAGGCACATGTATAAATTATGGACCTGTCAGGAAATTCCTTTACCTTTCTTATTCGAACTTTCCTTACCAGCATGCGTAGTAAACGTAGTAAGCAAACATATTTGACCTATTAGTGACGCAAGAATGTTTGCCAGACAAGCCGGAAAAGGGCAGTTTTACGGCTGTTGGGGAAATGTGTCATTAAAGCGACAATTTACGCACTGTAAGGTTTTTGGGACTGGCGAACGAGCATTGGCAATTGATGATGTGACGCGGGAAAATCCCGCAAATATCATACATATGCCCATAAAGTCGCACATAATAATAAAGGGTGCAGTAAAAACGTCTTTAGGGTCCGTAAATCGAGGAGTTAGCCAGCTTTAACGGCACACGCAACAATGTAAACAGAGAGATCGGGTTGATTAGCGACTGAGGTTTGCGCAACGATTTACCAGTATTTTCTGCATATTTATTGCATTTATTGACGTAATTCAATGGAGAACTATGTTGGCCTGCATATATATTCATATCTGTATATTCAATGCAATATTCTTCACAATCTATTTTCCAGACGCAATCGCCGCTATTTGTATGTGTAGGTGTGAGTTGGTTTGTGTGGTTTCGTGGTTTTTTGTTTAACATTATCGCCATTTCTAATGTGTAGTCTCAATTATGATTTCATGTGTATCCAGATCGGGCACGGCGAACTTCATGGGCAAATAGTCGTCGGGATGCATATGGGACATCTGGTTCACCTCTAACTGGGCCCGCTCGTGGTCCTCATGGCACTTGCTTTCGTGCTTCTCATAGTCAGCGAACGTATCAAAGATGGCCCGGCATACCATGCACTCGAAAAAGCTTCTGGAAATGGAATGCGGTTAATAAGGCTATAGATAATTAAACAATGAGGGAGGTTCAAGACTTTTTAAATTATGTACTTTTAAAGGAATATGGGAAAACAAGCATAGTTTTGTATTTTCCGTATTCTAATCTATTTAAAATAAGAACCCGTGTGTAATCAGAATCGGATAACCGACTGAGGTAGGTTAGCAGACGAATACATACGGTTTCTGTTCTGCCTCGAGACGCTCCCTGGCGAGGGCAGCGGCCGCTTGGATGGAGGCAGGCACGTCCACGTCGACGCCCTCCTTGATGTGCGACTGCAGGTGGCGCTTGAAGTTGGACAACTGGGTAAAACCCTTTTCGCAGTAGTTGCACTGATAGGGCTTGGCGTTGAGGTGGCCCAGCTTGTGCTTCTTGAGGTTGACCAGCTGGGAGAAGTATCTGCCGCATCGCTGGCATCGGAACGGTTTCTCACCGGTGTGTGTCATCTTATGCCTCTTCATGTTGCTCTGCTGCGTGAAGGACTTGTTGCAGAAGTTGCAGGTGAAGGGCCGCTCCCCGCTGTGCACCGCATAGTGGCGCTGGAGGTTCACAGCCTGGGCAAAGGCCTTCGAGCAGATGTTGCACACAAAGGGTCGTACATCGTTGTGCACCTTCATGTGGCGGTCGAGGTTCCCCGAGTTGCAGAAGCTCTTGGCGCACAGCTTGCACTCGTATGTGGTCTTGTTGTGGTTATGCACCTCCTGCCGGTGCAGTGTCTGGTCCCGCTTACTCTTGAAGGTCTGCATCAGAACATAATGATTAGATCGGGGTTATAGTAGGCATTCCCAGACACTTACGCGGTCGCAGCGTTTACAGCTGAACTGATTGACCACCGTCTCGTCGAATTCTACCTCCATGCCCGCCATCTCGCCGCTGGCTAGCACATCGATGCGATCCGACTGGGTGTTCTCAAGATGGGGACATCGAAAAACTGCAGGATGGGCGGCGAAAAATTCACTTTAATTAACTTATTCTGTAATTCTGTAACTTTTCGCGTCTAGAAAAAGTCATATGGTGGCCAAGAGTGGCCATATACGGCGAGAGAAATTGGCAATCTAATATACTAGATTATTATGCATTTTGCCTATTGGAGCTATAATACAAATTATGAGGATATCATATTAGTTTTGGAATAAGATTATTCATTAAATACAGATTATTCTGTTTGTTAAATTTTAATAACGCTTAAAAATATATTTAAATTTACAAGTCACAACTTTTTTATTTACCTTCATAAATAGTGACTGTAGTGTGGTATTTTTATCATCTCTAAACAGTGACCACGCGATGTATCATCTCTAGTTAGTCAAAACGCGTTAGTGCATTTTTCCGAGATGCTGAGATAAATAGAAATTAATTTCGGAAAAGCGATTTTCTTTTGTTTACCATCATGGCCACCTATTCCAATCAGCACTGGCTGCTCTCCCATATCCGGAACTCCTTTATCTCCACGGACGACACCGGAATGTGTGAAACCGTTATGCTGAGCGATGACATGCCCAAGCACTATTTGCGCAAATTTGGGAATTCGGGCGCTGGTGGAGATAACTATCATTGGCGGCGGTCGCAAAAGCCACCGCCCTCAGGGGCCGGGTCCACACCTGAGCGGAACACCCGACATCCAGATGCCCCACTCCAAGAGGTGGACTTCATCTGCTATCCAGGACTTGACCTCAGCGATGATGAAGAGGACATGTCCACGCACTCCTTCGACATCCAGATGTATCCGGAAGTGGGTGCCCACCGCTTTCGTTCAAACACTGCCCAAAAACTGGAAAAACTTGATATTGCCAAGCGAAGGGCAGCACGTATCAAGAGTATAAACTACCAGGAGGAAGTGCAACCGCCCGACAGCGAAGATTTTTTCAAGCGTAAAGAGGTGCCTCTTAACAAACCAGTGACGACGAAAAAGACACCAAAAACGAACGAAGATGAGCTGTCGGACGAAGGCGTCCTGAGCCAACTAACTGACCAACTGGCCAAGAGTCCAAAGCAAACACAGAATCGCTTTATTGAGTTTGCTCGCTTCGATGGCACTTCCCAAGTTGGTATGCAGACGAAAAGGATTAATGTGTTTCTGAATATGCTTCCGGAACCAGATCGCAACTATCCGTTGAAGATCTGCGTCGTAGCCACTGCCAAAATCCAGGAGGTCATTGGTTATGTCTGTTACAAGACCTCCTTACAGTATCCCGAGGTTCCTTTGAAGTCCCTGCAGCATTACGCTTTGTATATGACAGAGGATAATGACGATATGGAGGACTTCCCGCCTTTGGATAACCGTGAACCCTGCTCCAAATTTGGTTTCTCCCAACTAACACTCGCCGAACGACGGCCTTTGGCTCCGGTGACTCGAGTGGATTACCATAGTCAGCTGGGCACCAAATCCATGACTTCCGAGGAAAATAAGGCCGCTCTGGCCGAAGCGGCTGTCAAAGCTTTGCAAAATATTAATCTGAATGGAGGGACAAGTGATCCAGGAGGAGCCGGCGGAGGAGGAGGAGATAGTCCACATGACAATGTTAAGGAGTACGAAAAGCGCCTGCTGAACCACAATGACATGCTGGAGGCACCCATGCACCGCACTTTCCGCTTGAACATCATAGACAAGAAATTCTTCAAATCCGATGTGACCCTAGGCATTTCTGGCGAGAGAATAGAGATCGATCAGTACAAGAATGCCAAGTTCTGGCCGCAGAAAAAGCCAGTATCCACACCCATTGACTTTGTGGCACATTGCGAAATTGTGGAGCGACGACAATTGAAAGCTCTGTTACGCATCTGGCTAAAGTCAAACTCATCGTCACCTTCCTTTTCCTCCGGCTGTTCTTCGGCGCCGATCAATGACAGCGTGACCACTTTGAATATGCCAAGCGCCAGTTCAGGGCTTGCCCATAGCAGTCCGGGTCACTCGACCGGCCTCTTCTCGACCAGCAATATGCGCTTCAAGCATTACGACTTCGACACGGACACACACACAGCGGAGCAGATTCACAACAAGCTGAACTGCATCCTGGAGATGCGATCCAGTGATCTGAGGCGTGAGTTCCTTTTGCAACGTGAGCGGAAGTTGGAGAAGCGGCAGCTGAAGTTGTAGTATTTATTCCTATGGCGGCGGCTGCTGCTCGTGTGCCTAGCAGGCGGGCTACTGCCACTGCCGCTGCCACGCCCTCGCCTACACCTCCGCCTCCGCCTCCTGTTCGATAAGTTGTATTAGTTGCTAACTAAAGATTGTGTTACACATGTTTGCCTAGCCTGTAAGTATTTATTGAACTCACCTAACTACAAAGCCTGGTCCTGAAAATAAAAATGCAAAAACTCTTTAAATTGAAATCTTAAAATGTATCTTAAAAAGTCTAGGTAAGTTTATCTTAAAAAATATCTTTAAATTTAAGTGTAATTTGTCTTCCGCCATGCTACTGGCGTTTTCATTGCGATTTCCATGCGATTTGCCCGCGTTTTCTCGATTTTATTTCCGTTTCTCTCTCGCTCCACTCATTGTAATTGTCTGTAATCAATGTGCAATTAATCTAACAGACGACCAGACGGGGACGGGCCTAACGGTTAGCCGTATTACTGCATATTGTTTTTAGTTTTGCAGTTTATTTTTAGTCTAGCAATGTCAGCGATGAATGGAATGGGTTGGGCTGGGTCGCCTGTGTTAACAGCTGTGGAGCTATCGAGAATAATGCCTAACTGCCGTTAGACGATTGTTGCATGCTTACTATATACATCTGTATCAGCGGCTAACAAGCGATTGTAGCCTGTTCTAAGGCCAAGGTTAGCGACTCGAAATCACGCCAAAAACCGCGACATTTGAGGCCATTCGTCTGATATCGATGATGATGATGATGCTGTTGGCGTGACCATATCGAGGCAACTGCCAACTCTAAAGTTATGGCCAGTGATTCACTGGAGATGCAATTCCCCGAGGAAGTGGCGGCTAAGGTGAGACCTAAATTCAACATCACTCATACGCCGCGTATGCCAAAAAATGACTAACAAATGCCTGCGATCTCAAATAGCCGATAAAATAAAAGGAAAACGCCTATTTTCATGTTCGATATGTCCAGTCAGTTGGGGTTAAATGATTTATGCCTATCTGATTCAGCCTTGACAGAAACTCTGGCCCATTCTTTCAATAGACAAATTTGAATATCGCGGCAATTTGTCAAATGCAATGATATTTATAGTATGTAGATACATATATATATAGAATTTATTATCGACAAGTGCGTAGCCTTCGAGTTTTTGTTTTTCGCTTTTGCCTGAAAGCGAATTTCACTGAAAGCAACATAATTATCAGCAGCTAATTTGCCTAAGCAAATTCAACAGAGGCGGCTAATTTAGACAAGGATGCGACTGCGACTGCAACTGCGAGTGCGAGTGCGGCTAATTGAAAGGCAATAAATGCATTAAAACAGCGGCAGCCTTGACATTGAAATCGAATGACAAACAGCGAAAAGTTCACTCAATATGAAAGTTGCCAGGCATTATGCGATTTTATATGCCGCATGCTATATGATATATACACCGTATAAACATAGGTGGTAGGCGGGGCAAGAAACTTGGCACGCATGTGAGCGGATTTTCACTGCAAAATATAAAAAAACAACAACAACATCGAAAAACACAAAAGTGAGCGGGCCTCGTTGTCAATTTATCAATTGCATAAAATAATAGGCCTAGGCGCATAATTTAATGTCGCGTTGTTTGCCATTTTTGAAGGCCATTGCATATGCCCCTATATATATTCGCAGAAATCTGTATAGAGATATATATTTTGTATTCTATGGCTGCACATGCAGATTAATCGCTGGAAAATTCATTTTGCGCCTGAGTCACGCAACCGGACCCAAACTTCGATTCGGTTATGATAGCCCAAAAGATACGGCAGCTTAGCTTCCAATTATATATATTTTTTCGAGCAATTCATAAACAGGCATTAAGTTATCACCGATCAGCGTTCGTACTTAACTTCTCATTGCCGTACACTTCCACAAACGCTTCCGTTTTGCGTTGTCTGTTTGAAATATATGCTGTGGGAATTTAAGTCGTGTTCGGGAAATTAATTGAGCTATTAATGGATTAATTTATGGCATACTCCCCAACGGTAACTTGCATGCTGCAAATTGCTAGAATAATTCTACGTTTTCATAGATCACAAGCTCCCTTTCGGGTTTTCTTTTTTCCTTTTGATTTTCCTATTCACAAAACAAACTTGCAGGCCATAAACGTTATGTCGGTCTTTTCATTATGGCCATAACATTTTGCACATACCAAAGACCCAGAGACCAACCCACACGGAGACAGGCGTTGCCTCAATGCGTTGCACGCACCAAAAAACAAAACCAAAAAATACATAAAAAATAAATACAAAAATGTACAAAAAACCAATCGGAGACCCACAGCTCGAAAAACGCTTGCGATTTTAATTGCACAACTTGGGGCGGATTGTGGATTGCGGATTTTTTTGGAAAAGTGCGAGGCCCAGCCCCACACACGAAGAAACTTAAGATATACTTAAAATTAAGAGGCAAAGTTTTAAGATTGGGATGTTATTTGATTTCATTTAAGCCTTAGTTGGAAAAATAAATTTAAAATTTAAATATTGTTGTTTCTTTCCTTTTGTCATTTCAAATAAAAACTGATATCAACTAGTTAATAGTTAGTTACAATTTTAGGGGTTTCAAGTTTTAGAAAGTTTTTTGCTTAACAACAATATAAATTTAATGATTTTTTTCCTCTGCACAGCTTGTTCTCCGCTGCGAGACATTTGTAACCCAATTCTGTCGCTCGGGAAAGGAGGCAAATGCACTTTGCGATTTACATTTCGAACTGCGGCGGCTTAATTAAAAGCGTGCTGCACAATGGTCTGGCGAATAAAATCGAATAAAAAATATATGCTACATATGTAACGCCATACCTGGAGGTCAGCCGTTCGGTCTCCAACCTGTTGCATCCCCATCTCCAATGTCCAGTTGAGACCAGAATCTTCGACAAGTCGCCGGCGGCGGTGGCAACGTCTTCCTGCCTCCATTGGCGATAAATTGTGCTGGCATCAGCCTCTGCCAAGGTCGCTTCCTTAATGAAGTGCCGAAACTTGGGCTCGTTTCGTTGCAGGCACTTGACATGGAACTGGTTTTTCGGGCACCGCTCTCAAGTGGATGCCACCACGATCAGATGCAGGTGGTGATTGCCACGTACACAAAGAGAAAATAATGTAATTGTTTTAAAAAATTAGAAATATACTATCTATCATGTAGTAAGCAACCCACTTTTAAGGAGTTTCCGTAAAAGATAAGACATAAAGATAGACATAAAGTTATGACGTTTTCTTTCAGTGCTGTCAAAACAAACTGAAGGTTGCACTGCCCTTGTCCTGAACCTGTTTTCCTGTCTGGTTTCTGCTCTTACCATCCCGATAAAAGGTTCTGAATTATGTAATCCCGAGCTGGAGCCAGTGCCTTTGTGTGCGGATTCTCATGACCCACTTTCGTGGCCATCCATGCAATTTGCAGCCATAAATTCGTTTAGCCAGAGACGCAGGATATGCGATCATAACTCATCAACTTTTCATAATACAAGGAATTAAAAGGCAAAGTGTTACAAAAAGTTACAACATTGAACTGGAGGTGAGGGAAACTGTCGAATTGATTGCCAATTGTCCGACAGCCTGTCATGCAATCTAATGAGCTGAGGAGCTGACTCAGTCAACGGCGTGATTAAAATATAAACTTATGAAAATGCAATTATGCAAAATGAAAATACTTCAAACTCCATTTCGGATATCAGGCTTGATCGGTGCTGACAGCAGCCAAGTCTTCCCACTCGAGACTCGAAAATGTATTTTTGCGTAGGCTCAACAGCATAGCAACGCGTGCAAAATGTCAACAGAAGGACAAACTTCAGTTAACAATTGCTAATGTGCGCCGATCGCAAGCAGATCGGCCATAGCTATTATAGATCTATGGCCCTGAACGCACTTCGACTTCGTCTATTTTCTATGGCTCTCGGAAAAAAGTGCAAAAAGTAAATAAACGCTAAATAAAGGCAAATAAATGCGTTAACAAAGCAAGCTAACAACAATGCCAGCATAAGGCTTAAAAATTGGCTTTTAGTGGCAATTTGCTACCTCCCTCTCTTATGTACATATATATACTCGCCTATATATATGTTTTTTGGTCGAATTGACCTACCTCAAATGTAGCCACTTCCTGGATTATTTCAAGCTGTGGGCCACAATCAAACGAGTTAGATTAATCGATCTTGGTGGGGACACGCCTGTTGGCCCGAACAGAAGGAAAAAACCAAAAATGAAAATCATAATTTTGATTTTTATTAAATAAATCATTTGCCATTTGCGGTTTGTTTGTTGTTTTATTTGTCTATGCTACCAGGCCCATAAACAATAAAAACTCTTGATTTCATATTGTTGCTTGCCAGTGTGCCAGTGTGTCTCTTACCGCAAGGTTGCAAACATTTTTTTTTTTATTATTTTTATTTACTTCTTTGCTATTCATTTATCTTATTTGATTTTATTTTTCTTTATTTTTTTGGCAACATAATTTACTTGTTGGCAAATCAAATTGTAGGGGGGAACTCACTCTACAATGCGAAATGAAATGCTTGTCGTCAATTGGCAAATTAATGAGCATTTGATGGCCAGTTGACCTTATGTCAAGTATACGCCATGTGGCCAGACGCTAACGGGGGCAGCCAGCAGCAGCAGCAACAGTAGGCAGCACCTTGTAATTGGATTGCAAACTTTTGTTCTGGTTCTGGTCCCCGTCTCGCCTTCTTTCTTGTATAATTTTATCAGTTTGGGTAAACAATGGAAATTATGAGAATAGAGAGGGAGAGCCCAGCTGATGCAACACAGTGTTTCATAAAAGTAAGGCCCACTAAAGGGATTATTCTTTCGCATAATACACATTTGCATATGAATACCAGCGATGATATAATAATGCACAACACACAATACACAATAAGGGGGAGCTGTTGCAAAGCAAAAGTCGAGAGAATGACGCGGCCAATGCGGCTCATTTCAATATTGCACTTGAACTTGCACTTGACATGCAAATTTCCGATGCGATAACTGCGATGCAATGAGCATTCCCTGCTGCCTTAATGATAGGGGTAAACAGTGAGATTGGCGAGATACATTTCACGCAGCAATAATTCATTTTGATTTCAGTAAATGTGTGTTAAAAAAACAAAGAACTTAAATAGTACTAATGAGTTTTTATGATCATAAAAGCGTTTCATCTTACAGCTTATAACTGCCCAAAGGCTTGTGCTTTGTAAGCACACATTGAATCCATTTTTTGGCCTTGCTACCTATCCTTGCAATTAATATCTTTTAATTTTTACCCAATACTTATTTTAAGCACTTTATTTAGACACTCAAATTTGCTTATCTTTCGTGCAACTTTTTTGCTTGCTCAATCGATTCGTTCTAAAGCGGAACTGACCTGCTATTGATTGATCAGCGTCTCTGGGTTGTCAAGTGTGTAACCCTCAAATTGCAATTTGTTGTCGCTGCTCTGCTGCTGCTGCTGCAATTTCCTTCCTGTTTCCCCTCGGTGATAGATAAACGGCTCACTCTGGACGCAGTAATTGCGATTGCTATTGCAATTGTGATTGCAATTGTGTGTTTTTGTCTACAACGAGGTCGCCAGACGAAAAGCACTTTCCCAATTTTCAGGCGATCAATGCAAATCGGAAGTGAATATGTGTGTGCCCGAGAACACACTGTTAAAGTTAAATTTAATTTATAAATTATTCAGGTAACTCAACCAGCTGACAAATGCATTGAGTTAAAGCGAATGTCGCCAATGGTGTTGCTTTTGTTTTTGGCAATGTTGCTGGTGTGTTTGCTGTTGCTGCAGACTATAAGGTTGCTGTAATTTGTCTTGGTGTTGCTGCTGTGTTTGCTGTTGTTGCTGCAGTTACTGATTGTGGTGTTGCTGCTGTGTTTGCTGTTGTTGTTCTTAATATTGCTGCTGTTTCTCTTATTGTTGCTGGTATGTTTGCTGTAGTTTCTTATAGTGTTGCTGCTATGTTTGTTATTGTTGCAGCTGTGTTTGCTGTTATTGTTGATCATGTTGTTGCTATTGTTATTGTAACAGCCACCAATGCTGTTGTTGTTGTTGTTGCCAACGCAACAAGTTTCGTGTGTGTTGCCAATAAGTTGTCGCTGCCAACGTCGCCGCTCTCTCGCTCTGCCTCTACAGTTAGGTACTGTTGTTGTTGTTGTTGTTGCTGTTATTGCTATTGGCTTTTGTTGTTATCGTGCGTACTTGGACCGCTCAATAACGCCGCTGTCGCCGCTGCTAACGTCGCTGCTGCCGTCAACGTCTCTGCCGCCGGCCGCCTGGTGCTGTAAACACGAAAAAAGAGGCAGAAAAAATTGAAACGAAAGCAGAGGGTATTTAACCGACCTCAAATCAATTTGCAATTTCAGTCGATCTCCGCGTTGCAGCGTTGCATGAACTCAATTTTAGTCGCGTGCGAAACAGAAAGTTTACACAAGTTCAACCGAAAAGCCTTACGGAAATACATAGTTAGGAAACGGGCAACAACAACAACAACAACCTTATAAAAACGGCAAAAACTTGAACTCCAAAAAAAAAAAAATTACCCGAAACGCAATCGAAATTGTTAATTGAACTTTTATTTATTGACTTTAGCAAAAACGGTGTCAAGCGCGGCCTAGAAAAAGAAATAAAACAAAACCCAAAACGACAAACGCCCAAAACAAATTCCAAGCACGTTGCAGACGAAATTACGCAAACAACGATATAAAACACACCAGCAACTGCTGCAACTACAACAGCAACATCAACATTAACTGGCAACAGCTGACGTTCAATGAACGTTTCAGTTTCAGGTTACCCAGATGCAGATCTTGGCTAATCCAGCCCATCCGCCCATGTAAAGTGCAACTCTATCAAACAGAGAGAGAGAGAGAGAGAGAGCTTTTTCCTCCGTCAATAACTGAACTTGAAAGTGAAAGTGAAAGAGAGCGGAGAAATTGCGGAGAAAAGAGCTTGGTCAGAAAGAAAGACCGAAAGAAAGACCATTACTTAAGCTGTTTTTCGCTTTTGCTGGAGTGCCCAAAAACATCTCAGAGCATCAGCCAAGGTCGTACGCTAGAGACATGGATAACCCCAAGGATCAGTCGGAAAAGGTGTACGAGGTGAAGGCTCCTCATGCCGGCGCTGAGGGTCACACCTTCCTCGTGAGTCCTGTGGATCCCACACCGATCCTGGCTCCCATTCTGACTGCAGTGCCTGTGATGAAACCCAGGGAAGAACCTCCTCCAATGGAAAAAGCCAAGGCAGTGGAGTTTGATGATGAGCAACCCAGCTGCAGTTCTCAAGCTGTGGTGCCCATATCCTCATCTCTGCCATGCAAGCTGTTGCGGATGCATGCCCGGCGATCTGCCCAAGCCCTGCTCCACCAAATGGAATCGCTGGACTCTCAGCTGGGCAGCAGCCATGGCAGCACCTCGGAGGACACCTCGCCCAGTGCTCCACCAATGTCGCCCACAGATCATCAATTAGTCGATGTCGGCATGGGTTCTTCCATCGGGGATTCCGAGGAATCTTCTGAGGAGGGTGACGAACTTAAGCCTCTGGCTGTGGATAATCACATTATGCACGACGTGGACTTGAATGAGCGCCAGACTTCGCCACCGGCTGTCTTAAGTGAGGCCAACTTGGAGAAGTTCCGCAAGCACCAGATGGATAATATCTATCTACATCCAAACTTCACTATGGATGCTTCTCCACCGCCAGCGGTGGCTCCAGCTAATTCACCTGTCATGGAGGCCAAGAGAAACCATCGTTCTTTCCTTTCAATCAAGAAAGAAAAGGAAGTGGAGCAGCCGCAGGAGAAAGAGCAAGAGCAGACTCATGTTAACCAGGAACAGGATCATGAACCCCAGGGACCCAATGAGATAGATACTCTGGATCCTTCTCTGATTCCCAGCGAGGAACTGGCTGCTGAAATCACCGAAGCCGTGGAGTTCTACTTCTCCAATGAGAGTATCCTGAAGGATGCTTTCCTGCTAAAGCATGTGCGGCGTAACAAGGAGGGCTACGTAAGCCTAAAGTTGGTGTCCAGTTTTAAGAGGGTTCGCCAGTTGACCAGGGAGTGGAAAGTCGTTGGCGATGCAGTGCGTCGCAAGTCACGCAAGATCGAGCTGAACGATGTGGGCACCAAGGTGCGAAGAATCGAGCCACTGCCAAGCTTCGATGAAACCATGCCATCCCGCACCATTGTGGCCTGTGATCTGCCTATGGACAAGCTGACCATCGAAAAGGTCTCGGATCTATTCTCCCGATGCGGTGAGATTGCCCTGATACGCATCCTTAAGCCCGGAATGACCATACCCATAGATGTGCGTCAATTTATGAATAAGTACCCAGAGCTTCAGCAAAAAGAATGCGCTCTAGTGGAGTACCTGGAATCCTCATCCGCCAGGGATGCCCGTCACCTGAGCGGTCCCTTCCAGGTGTATGAGATGGTGGCACCCAAGAAGAAGACCGGCAAGAAGGCTGCCGTCATCCAGATCGCTGCCCCGGTTGCCCGAATGGTGGAGAACTATCGCTACTACAACGATGCAAACTACGAGAGGAGTCGAGGTGGCAGCTTCTCTGGCCACGAAACTGTTCCAGATCTTCGCTTCAAGCTGAAGCGTAACAACTCGGATTTCCAGCCGAGTTACTACCAGCAAACGGGACCCAACTACCATGTCAATCCGTATCAGCATTATCAGCCACGCGGGAGCATTACCAATCAGAACCAGGAGATGGGTCCCTCGGGGTTTTACGGCTATGGTCCCAGGCGATACAGCAACACATCGACGATTTCGGCCAACACGGCGGCTGCTTTGGGCGATGGTTCACCTATATCTTCTGCTGTCAATGCAGGCGGTAATCAAGTATCTCCTATAAGCAATCTACAACGTCGCCTCTCCAACTGCTCTGAGCAGAACTTTACACCCGAAGCCAATCCTTCGATGTCGCGCAGGGCTAGCAATTGCTCGGAATCCGGAGGTGTTCCACAACGTCGTGATTCTAACTGTTCCGAGAGTTGCCCATGCTCCAGAAGGGTTTCAGACTTTGGCCAGACCACGGACACCAGTTACAGGAAGACCTCTGTGTGCTCCAACGGCAGTTGTCCGGGCAATCAAAACCAGGAGCGTCGCTTCTCTAACGGTTCCATGCAATTCGAGAGGACCTTCTCGAATGCCAGCGAGAGCAGTGGCTTCTATCGTCGTCCTTCGAATGATTTCAATATAGAAAGGGAGCCCATCCAAACCGATCAGATGGTTGGCGGAGGCGGAGGTGGTTACCAGGTGTGGCCACGTCGTTATTCCAACAACTTCCAGCAACTGAGCAGCAAGCTGGCGGCCTACGATAATGCTCAATATATTGGAGGAAGGCGCATTTCCACGGATTCGGGTTACGATCGTCGTTGCTCCTTTGGATCGGAATTTGAAGGATCTCCACGGTCACGTACTGGAAGTTTCTTGAGTAACTACAAGCATGGAGGAGATGGCTATGATGGTCAGCCAAGATCGCGAACCGGAAGCTTCCTGGATGGATCTCCACGATCGCGTTCCGGATCCTTTGCGCAACGAGCGGCCGAGAGTCTGGTGCGGACTCCAATGGGTCCAGATGGTAGCAAGGGTTTCGGTCAGAGGGCCAGGAAATTCGGACAAGCCATATCACCCGTGAACTAGGGGGGAGATTCAAGAAAGTACATAGAACGGGGGACATTTTGTTGATTAATTTTAGTGGGAAGATGAAAAAAGAAAAACTGTTATATAGAACCCCGTTTAGGACGGGGTCAACGTATGTGAAATTAATGGCTGTACACTGTGATGCTGTCCAACTTGTTAAACACGTCCCACACGTACACCCCCAACAACCTTAGCCCAACCTAGGTTAGGAACAGATACCTATAGTTATTGAATTTTTATCACCGAAAGCTATGAGTGTTCATGATGGTTGATGTGGAAGTTTGCTAGCTCTCAATTTATTTTTTTAACCATTCTTTAACGAAATCACTGCCAATAGTTTAAGGGAAACAAAAACATAAATAATTGGTTTGGTAGACATTTAAGATTTTACTTATTCAAATAATCAATATATATGATTGACCATTAACCAGTTAATAGATATTAGGATCTTAAAAAATTGTTTGTATTTGAGAAGAAAATGTAGAAGTAGAATACGGGCTAAACTATTATCACAAAGTCTCAAATGACTTCTATGAATGCCTAGGTATCTACCTTATATAGCTGCTATATCCTTATGAGTTCTTAATAACTTACTACAGACAGTTTTAGTATTCTTTTATTGCCTATAAACACTTTTAATTAGCATGCAATTAGGTTAGTTATAGGATAGTCACACCCATTAATCAAATGGCTGCCATAAAAATCAGTTATATAGAAAAGTGGCCATACTTAACCCGATGTGAGTAAAACGGATGTAATTGGAAGCAAGAAAGAAATTTGATTAGATTCTCAGGTCATTAGGTTTAACATTCGGAGGGCAAGCAAAATTCGATTTCCACATTTTCCAACTTACTCTACTCATAGTTTTCAGCACTTTTTATTTTGATTTGTTTTTTGATTTCAACACTTTTATTCAATTACAACTTAGTTAGTCTAATAATTACATATTTAGTTGTAGGAAACTTGGTTGTCCTCCCGTGGAAAAAAGAACGGAGGAAACAGCAAAACGGATTATTACAGGAGAGAATAAAAATATTTTTCATTTTTAGCTTTTAATTTCGATTTCTTACAGAAGCCCTAATCTGTAGATGCAATAAATTATATTATGCGTGTTAACCATAAATAAAATTATTACAAAAAAATCTGTAAAGGGTGAATTATTATTATTATTATTATTGTAATTAACCAACAATGGTGAACTTGAAATGGAGCTTAGCTAACAAATTTGCTGTCTTTTTGCCAAATCATTTAACGAATCTTGCGCAATGTGGCTGCCCGAAATTGAAAGCGAAATTCGCGCCACTCGAGAACCGAAGGTAACTAGGCCAACGAAATAGCCACAAAAAATCGCCAAAATATATATATATATTCGAGTATATATAGTAACAGCAAATCCCAACCAGTCTGCCTTGCCTGTGAAAGCAACAATTTGAATTTTATTGAATAATATTCGTAATTTTTGTCTTCACAAAGTGACATGAGCGTGACGCATGCGCCCCCAACTCAAGTTTTGAATTTGATTTTGTTGTTTTTTTTTAGTTTTTTTTTGCGAACTCGCCCGCGGTTCATAATTGTTCATAAAGCGGCCGTTAGCATTGTTATTGCCTTGTATCCCAGCCTCTGGGGCTGAATTTCGAGTACTCATGCCTTAATCGTTGCCGTGCGTGCGATTTTTTTGCGGTCCCAAGGTATTTGTTGTTCACTTTTCAGTTCATTTTTTTGATTTTCGATTTTCGATTTTTGTTTCGTTTTTTGGCTTCGATTTATTAAACAATTTCAATGGGTATACCAGGCGCTCGTATACACAAGTGAATGATTTTTCGCACACACGCATCCCGCCGCACCGCCCACAGCGGGCCGAATACGAAACCAGTTTTCAATTTTATTTGTTGTTTTTTTTTTTCATTTTGGCCGCTTGGCCAGGGCGCACTGAACTAATTGTCGCACAATTTTTCACCGCGTGGGCAAAAATTCAAAAGTGCAGCAGATATTAAGATCTAGCCAACGGGGAAGCAGTTTTTGTGCGTATATTGCATAATATCTGTGAGGCTTTACCGCAGATGATCGTGCATTGTAATCGTATAGCCATAGGGGTTCATGTGCTCGCTTGATTAAACTTCCTGGCGCTGAGGCATTATTATTGCCGAATTCCCTTTTAAATTTATGCTAATTAAACGTGCTCAAACAGGAACCGAAAACCAGTCGCATGGCTCGTGTTTTCCAGAACAACTCGCACTCATTAAGTGAGAGTTCATCTCCAGCGGATGGGGATAAATATAAATATAAACCCTGTAAATTATCGCAATCGAATCAGGCATAAAGTATGGCTTGAGTTGCGAACTGACCGATGACATAATGCCATGAGTGTCGAAGTATTTTCTAGGCTTAAAAAACATTCATAAATCTAGAGAAACAGAAAGAATTAATCCATTGTAAATGTAAAGTTTTAATATTATTTAATATTTTATTAGAGCTAAAATTGTTTATTCAATCAGAAGCCATCCTACACAATGTAAGAGTTTTGATAAAAATCTTTAGAATATACCAGAATCCTTCCATTATTTCTCTCTGTGCATCACTGACCTTAGACAAGTGTACGCTTTTTTGGCAAGATTCTACATCCTTGGACCGGCTAAAAATGTCTCAAAGCGTTCAATGATAAAATCGCCGACAGGCAGAACGTAGAACGTGCCGTGTGGCAAGCCATCAGAAAAGTGCCTCAACCTTGACCGTCATTTGTAGGCGTCAGAATCGTTAATCGAGAGATGTAAACTCTTTGCACGGCCAAACGGGCGTATACTCGATTTCCGGAAACGCTGACAACGCTCTCGTCTTCTCTCCTTTGAAGTTACGCCAAGTCATCTTCAAGTTCAGAAGGCACACTGATATTTATTTATAAATAAAAGTAACCTTAGTCGCTGCTGTCTCAATAAAGCGTACTTGAAGTGCGCGTAGAAATTTCCGCACCACATTATTAACATTGCCAGTCATGTCGGCGAAACCACAACTGCCAGCTAGGCAGCTAGGCAGCCACTCAGACATCAGTTCGTATTGATGAAATGCCATATTGTAAGCCAAAATAAGTATACGCACCGCTGTCTCAATTGCATAAACAACAACAACAACAGCGACGATGCTGACCTCAACACGTTCGTTCTCACTACGCAATTGGCTAAATCAAATAAATATACTAAAGCATCAGAAATCAACAATTACACATCGAACGCGAGGCGAAAGCTAAAGATTCTGGAATAACCCAAAAATAATGATATCCAAGTTGGGGTTTTTTTTTATGAAATTTGTAAGAAATTGAAGAAGGATAAGTGAACTTATAAAACAAAGGTGGTTTTTAAAAAAATGAATTCATGAGTAACATGTAAGTTGACTATCAGATATATCCATAATCCTACCTAGCTGACTGATATTTTGTGACTTTTCCGGATATTTCATTGGTTTCTTTAACATTTGATAAGCTCAAAGGATGAAAAGTCACTAGATTCATAAACTTTAAGTTAATCAAGTTACTTTTCATAAATCATCTTTAAAATAACCTAATGTTTATTTTATTAGTTTAGCCATAAATAAATACCCATTTATCATACAGCATATATATTGCAATGTATATGCGTCTATAATAGATGTGTCAGTTCCATAAGATATAATATATAATATTTAATCAAATGGTTTTTTGATAGACGACACACATTTTTTATCTTGTGTTTAAAATATTACCTACCAACATTATGGGGAATTCTTTTCTATATTTTTTTCACCTTTCGATCCAGTTATTTTTAAAGAGTTGCTTACTAACTCATTTTGTAAATCACTATATAGTGGATATGTTTTCATTAATAAGTTAATTTTCATTCGAATGTCATGAAAAACAATAATTAATTGATTAAAAATCTTAATAGTCGTCCCTGAAGAGTGGACAAAAAATTATGAATAACATTTATTTTTGGTAAGTAGTAATCTGCTATTTATTAATTAAAGCATACTTTCGGGCATTTGAAATAAAAGTGATTGACAAGGCCAAGCTAATTGGTGCTAAAATATAGAAGCATGCTTTTCGGCATCATGATTAAGATAAGTTGGCAGCCCTTAAATTGTTGGCGCTAAAACTGAATTTTATTTGCAGTCCTTGAAAAATCATGAAAAATAATGTTAACGCTAAAAATTAACTTGCCAAGTTTATGTCCAGCTGAAAATAATGAAATAAAAAACAATTTGGAATATATTTTGATTGCTTTTGTGCTATGTTTATTTCGCTTGTTATTTTTTAATACTTTTATCTTTTTGGAGCAAACAAACAAATTCAACTACATTGGCTCGAGGGGATGTATTTTCCTTTTTGTTTTAGGTTTAGGGGAGTTGCCTATGACTAATATGTATATTTTAAATATAGCTTTCCACGTCCGTTAACTTAACATTCTTAGGTCTTTTGTTGTTGTTCTTGTGTGTATTTTGTCCGCTAATTAATTAAGGTATTTGACTAACAATTAAAATATAATCGAGGTACTATTAAATTAGACATTCGCTAATGCTCATAATTTGCGTATTGTGCATGCAATTTGACTATTTTTGTTTTTGCTTTTTGCTTTTTGTGGGGCACTACTTGGACCCATCGGTACTTAGACGAGACTAATGCTAAGGCCCAGTGGTAATCGCAGACCAGCGAGTTGGAGCGAAGCTTGGTGGGAATTTTGGTGGCTGCTGGCTGCTTTGCGGTGGCTCTGTGGTTCCAGTGGCGCTTCCGCTTCCTGCACCACTTCCAGTTCCGCATCGTCGTCGTCCGCCTCCTCCTCCTGCTCCATTTCTTCGTTCTCTTTATTCTCCTCTTGGGTAACCTGATAGCTGGTGGTTGGCAGGACTTCGGATATGGCACTATCAAATTCCAGCAGTATCTCATCTTCGTCGAGGTCTCGCGTCCAGCGCGGCCTCTGCTTGAGGGGACTCATGATCTGCGGGGGTTTCGAGGTGTTGGAGGTGGTTGATTTCGCTGAAGATGCGGGCGGTTCTTCCCTGCTGAGCGTGGTACCCAGACGCCGGAACATGGCCACTACTTTCCCATCCACACTGGGCTGCTGGAATCTTTGGTAAGTGGGTGTGGGATTTGGATTTGTCATGGGCACTGCCGCTGCCGCTACTTCCTTGGCCAGTCGTTCCACTGGTTTCCTTCGCGGCGCCACACACTCAACCTTGCAGATCACATTGCTCCTCCTTTGACCCTGTGGCCTGAGGTAGACAAACACCGACTGCTGACTCCTCTTCTTGGGACTCCTCCGCAAACTCTCCAAGCAACATTGCCGCAGGACTCGGCTCATTCGACTGACAGAGGCTGGTCTGCTGGTTCTTCGCTTGGAATAGACTATTGGTGCGGGTGTGGGATTGACTGGAACTTGGGGCTGCGGCTGAGGCTGTGATTGGGGCTGGACTCGTACTTGGGGTCGAACCATCGCCACCGGACGCAGCTTCGTCTTTTCCTGCTGCAACACACTGTTGCCCATGTGCGAGGGACTTTGACTTTGACTCTCGGCCTCATTGCTGTTGACCGCTTGCAGGGAATGCCAGTTGATCAGCCAGTTGTTGCAGCTGAAGCAGAGGAACTTATCCTCGTTCAGGGGCTGTAAGTAAAGAGATGAATAGGAAATGAGTACAGGAGGTCTATGAGTTGGTATGTGTTTTAATACTAAGATTACTCAAAGGTTCCAAGGTTGATCACCCTGAAAGGTCTATTCTATGGCTATTAACCCTAAGCACTCCGAATTTTCAATACCAATTATTTATTGATTAAAGGCAGGACATCGTTAGCCTCATCAGAAACCCAACTTAGAAAGAAAATTGACCCAAATTCGATTGCATGTCCTGCAATCTCAAGCCAAGCATGACCACAGAATAAACCTCTTGAAAATAACGTTACGCCTATGCACTTAGTGATCGCTCTCGAAAGGCAACCACTAATGAGCATCGAACCAAAGGTGCAAAAAAAGCATAACATTTACAAAAACAACAACAGGCAGACAGGGACCCGGAGCATATTAATTACCCAAGCAGACCTCAACATTCCTGGGGTATCAATAATTTCGTGCACCTGCCAACGAAAACTAAGCGCCCAACATCAACAGCAGCAGCAGCAGCGGCAGCTGGCCCCGAAAAGGTACGCAAAACCAGTCAAAAGCCAAAAGGGATAACCGAATGGTTAGTTCGAACCTCGAAGCAAACTCGTTTTGGCCAAAGGCCACGCGCCCTATGGTCACGTAGTGGAACTGAAAAGGAGAACTGGGTTAAAACCCAACTATGACGGATATTAGGCACGCGCAGGCGCGACAGCTGCTCCTCGGGAAAATTAGATAAAGGTGATCAAGGGGTAGGGGGAAAGGATCGGTAGGGGCAGGGGGCAGGGGTAGACAGGATCAGGAGCGATTGTGGCTGCCTGTTTACCTTTCGGTTCGGCGCTGAAAAGGTGTGCTCCAAGGGCCATGTGTAAACGGTATAATAATGCAAATTGCAGGCCAGGTGCAAAGCAGACAGAAAACCACACACACGCACACTGATCGGTGGTACACTGGGAGAAAATTTCTGTAACTTTGCTTTAAAATATTTCATGAAATATTGAATGAAAAGTTTCTTTCTCTTAACAGTAGAGACATCTTTGTAACAAACCCCAAATTGGAAAGTGTTTCTTAACTATTATTTTTTCCCACTGCACAAAAGAGGGAGTTAGGTTGGTCGCCTCATTGCAACTGCAGTTTATGGCCCTCTCATTGAGGGCTTTATTTTATTAAGAACTTGCGAGGGTGTAATTTCTGTGGGGTGATCGGTTGCCAGGCTACGATCGCGGCAGGTGGTGTATATATATCCCATATAGGGTTTCGCAATAACGGTTCAAAGTAATTTCTAACGATCCTAGGGGAGTGAACTTATATAGAGGGTAAGCTTCGAGGGTCAGCTGCGGTGGGGTGAGCCCAGGGGTTTTTATTATAATGAAATTGTATAGCGTGCCGGCTATAGGATTTCGTAATTAAATTGATTGCCTTTCTTGGCAATTAATGTGGAGAATTTAGGTCCTGAATGTAGTAAGGCAAAACATCTGTTTTGAAAAAGATAGTTCTAGCATTTTAATAATATTTTTACCAAGTCTGTTGGCAACCACTTCAAATTGTTTATATTTTGATAAGGCTTCGTCTTAAGAACTCTCTTTAGAGTATCCTCAGTAACTGTCTGACCCACTTTGGTTTTCTAATCCAATAGCAAAAGGAAACCTTAGAAGAAACTATTGCCCAAAAAAACAAACTAAAAGAAGACCTTAAAATTGAAGTCTTGTCTAGTTTCGGCACTTCAAGGACTTCAGCTGGGAAATTGGGAGACTTAAAATCACCTATGGTATACCCTACTCTAAGGGTAAATCTTTTGTTTGGATTTGTGCAACCTAAGAAACCGGAATTTCTTTCTAGAGATTTTTGGCATTGTTTGCCAGAGTTCAACCACCATCTTAGGGGAGTTCCTAACAATAAACCTTAAACCCAGATCCAGGTATTCGTATTCAATAGTTGATATGCGAAAAAAAACACAAAAACAAAAACCTTAAGAAAGGAAGCAAAGCTGATAAAGCAGCAGCAGCAGAAGACCAAGGAACCCTGATGGGTTGAATTTTGAGTGGCCGCCGAGTGGCAAATACAGCTGTCGTTTTGGGATGTGGAGAGGAAAAACACAAGAGAAGCAGTGAGTAAAAAGAGAGGGTGAAGAGCGTGTGGAAGGTTCGTTCACTGCCCGCAGAAATTGGAGCAATCTCGGCTCCTCGGCAAATCCACCACACATCTGCCCTTCCAGCAGGTTTGTGCGGTACAGGTAGTCCAACACAGAGTGCCTGTAATCCGAGACCCAAAACTCATTTCCACAGAAATACCCATAACCCAGGATCTCCAGCCAGGATCGATTTCCCTGACCATCTTCCGCTGTCGCATTTCCCACACACACCAAACACCAAGCACCGAACTATGCATATTAGAACAAGCTGTTAAAAATTATGGGAAAGGAATCGAACTAAGTGGCGGCGCATATGCAAAGTGTCCAATTACCGAGTGTAGTCAGGGAAATGCATCAGCTGGCGGGAGACAGGATATGCAGTGCAAAGGCCACAGGAAAAAGGTATAAATTAAAGAATGGATGAGAAGAAAGGAAATTAGGTTTGTGACTTTTAAGCTGAACTTGATTAGTGCTCTTTATATCATTAAAGGTGAAGTTTTTATTATGATTTTTAATACTATCTGTAAAAAGTTTTCTTTTAGGCTACTTCTCCTCAGTTTTCGATTAAAAAGGTTTATTAACACTTTTGCTGGAGTAGAAATACAAATTGTAAACGATTTAAAAGACAACTTTTAAGTTATATTTACCAATAGGTACCAAAAAATGTTAGTTAAAAGGTTTTTAATTGAAAAACTAGTAAACAATCTCTAAGAACAAACCTTCTTAAAAACAATCCCTTCAAAGTTTGAAAGATTTAAAAAGAAAAACCACCTATCAAAAAACCTAAAACTTTTTTCCAGGTGTGATGCTGTCGGAGAGTTACCTTTACCTGCCTAAAATCACCGCCCCTCTCGAATCCCTCCTTTTTTTTCCGCCCAACAAAGTTCATCCCCTTTTAACCCAAAAACACACACGGATACACGCGCACACACACGGGAAAAACTTTGTCCGAAGGACGTTGTTTCGTTGCATGACTCATCCGCCGAGTTGCCCCAATATCGATTTTTTTTTCACACCCCCTCCCCCTCTCCATCCCACACCCCCTAACTTGTGATGAAAAATCCATACCTGAAATTTGAATTTCGCCTGGATTAGCTGGACAATATTCGGACCAGAGCGCGGCTCGTAGATATTGATCGTCTGGTTGGTGTGGCAGCCGCAGATGAGGCAGGTGCGTTTCAGGTATTCCGATGATGCTGCGGGGGCGGCAAGGGCCGCCGAGGGATCCGCCTGCTGCTGCTGATTATTGGCAGACATCCTGGCGATTTTTTCCCAGCCTCTGACGTCACCAAAGGTCGCACTAACTTGCCGATTTTTGGTTCGCTTCTAACACTCGTATTTGATTTTTCGGTTTTTTTCTCTTTCTTTTGGGGTGGCGCGAAAAAGTGGCAAACAACAAATGCGAAGCGGCAGACACACGCGAGTGAGTGAGTGAGTTAGCGAGAGAGAGTGTGCGAGGGTGAGAGCGGGACAGCGAGCTACGGAGCGGCACGTCCTTCGCGTTGCACGCACAAATTTCGAATGAGCCTTGCTTGTCCTCTTATTTGTGGCAAGACTTGTGTGCGCGAGTTGCCAGATAGGGAGAATGTAATTACTGCAGGCTTTCGAGTTGCCGGATCAGCAAGAGATAGAGAGAGAGAGAGAGAGAGGCTTATATGAAAAGATATATGGAAGTGGGAAAGGTTTTATTTATTATCAAATTATATCCTGATAAAAAATATTACAAAATATTTCAAGTGCAAATACTAAGAAATATTAAAGCTATTAATAATAAAATTATACATTTTACAGTAAAAATAGTTTAATACTGTTTTAAAAAGAGTCCACAAATTTGGTTTCAGTCTTAAATTATAATTTTATATATTTACCAAAAAATTCAATTTATTTATATAATTCAATTATTAATTTAATTATTATATATTATACTATAATATTATATATTTCATAAATGCATTGTTGGACTTAAGGCTTTTGAGGCTAAGAGGAAGGCTATTAGTTAAAAAGATTTCTAGTTGATAGAGAAAATGTCACCTTTTTCGTTGCTAAAAAATAATATAATGTAGTACCAAAGACCAACTGTTGTACCTTTTTGTCTGCACTGAGAGAAAAGGCACATTTAAGGGTGAAACGGACTGCTTTGACAGCATATGTTCGTATTTAAGGGCGCCAAAAGGGATGTTGAGTGGTAGAATGACGAGTGCGAATTTGTAAGGCAGGAAATGGAAAACAACAGGAAATATTAACTAGAAATATAAGACTAGACTACGGATATATTATTTTGGATTCCAATGAAATATCAAACAAGAGTATGTCATTTTAAATATAGTTTGTTAATAGAAAAATAAATATAGCAAAATGATTTAAGATTTTATGATTTTAAGAAATAACAAAAACATGATTTTTTAACCGAACTCTGCAAGCCTGAAAAATTTGATAACTTATCAGATTTCTACACAAGCCATGAATGAAATTTCAAGACTAAAGTATCTTCTTTTATTTTAACTAATCAGATTTTCATAATTTCCATGAATGAAATCTCAAAACCCCAAAAATATATCTCTAAATATTTTGACAACATATCGACAATAACTTGACCTATCTGAACTTTTGCCACTCAAGTTACCTCTTCTTTAGCTCTTTCACTATGCTTAAGCCCCACGAACGAATCGGTGGCAGCTGCCAGTAAGCGACAAACACCGAATTTAATGTGGACGGCTTCCTCCACTGGTACTTATCATTATTATGGAAGACCCACCGGCTCAACACAGACTCAATATCATATAGAAGTATAGTGTAGCATGCAGCATGTGTGCATTGTGGGCTCATCAACAGGCTGCCTGGCTGTGTCTGATGCCCCTCCAACTAACCAATCCTCATAACCAAAGAAGACTCTCCTCCAAAAACAACAACAACGACGGCAGCTGCTCCAAAATACAAAAGGTGCGTTTTAGGTTTTTTTTTTGTTTTTCACATTTTATTCGGGCAACTCAATCATATGTTCTCTGTGTTGTAGCTCATTTTGAGCCGGTGTTGCAGCTTGCAACCGGATTTCATTCGTGGCGACAGATGTTTCTTCTCTGTGTTTTCCTTCGTCCGAACCTTCTTCGTCGGCCTCTTCGATTTGCACCTTCCACACAGATTGCCAGACACTGGGTTAACTGGCGCTGCTTGCCGCTACTTTTACTACGTACGACGAGTATCTTTGTATCTTCGTATCTTCGATAGTAAACAAAGGAGTAAGGAACTCGCAAACGCAATCGCTGCCCCTGATGAATGAAAATATGAATGGATCTTTTGCGGGGGTGCACAACAGGAGCGGGGAAAGCGTAGCGAAACGAAAAATGTTTCCGGAACTGGACCCTCGATTCGATCGATTTTCTTGCCATATGCGTAGCAAATTTCTATATTGATTGGAGTTCAGGGAAAGGAAGTGCTCAAGGTAGTTCGCTGAGATCATCGGGATAAAAAGATGGATTGCCCGCTCTTTTTTATCTGAAGAGATTTTGCGTTTAGTGTTATCTTATCGTCATCAACATTGGCTTCGTTGTCAAATATCGTTCATATGATCTAAATATCTCATATTATTTAACAAACAGCATAGATTATTTTTTTTGTTATTTTGAATAATCAAAATCTTTACAGTTTAGTAATAATACCTTATTGTTTTATCTTATTTATACTGTATTTACTTGTTCTTAACGAAACACTACCAAAGTAGGTGGGCTTTAGATATAGATTTAAAAAAAATTAATATAGTAACATCCATCCACTACTAACAGTCGCTTGTTTAGCCAGAGCATAGTTTATTCTTTAAAATCAAAATATATAAATATTTCCAACAAAAGTTCGAACAACCGCCATCTATGAACTGAGGGCGCTAGATGGCGAAGTAAGTCTCTCAAAAAATGCTATAGATGGCGGTAAGAACGGTTACGGTAACAGCGCAGATAAATGTAATGAAATGGCGCCACTATTCGTTTCAGGACATTGCGTTGCTCCTAAGCATATTGCATACTTTTGGGATACCACATTTTTTACCGCGTTTTACTCGTGTATGGTGGGAGGGTTAAACACCCTGGCCCTTTTAACAAAATATTGCAAAAAATCCCCCTCACCAGTTTTAAATATTATTTTTGATTTTTACTTCAAAGATCATAATTTCAGTTTTAAAAGTGATTTATTTTTGATTTTTTACTTTTAAGAATATAATCTTAGATTATAAAATATGTTTTCTATATCTCTTAAAAATATCTTACATGCAAAACAAACACAACTGCGTACCTCCGTTTGGTATCAAGAAATACTCAAGTTATCAACGTCTACCCAGCCCCTCAAAAACTCCCTCCTAAACAGAAGAGGACAAATCATCATCACCCGCCTCAGACTAGGACACTCATTCTTAACAAACGCCCACCACCTCGACAGAACAAGGAACAACGTGTGCCCATTATGCAACATCTCCTTATTCCTCAATAATTCTGATCCAATCACCACCATAGCTAACCCCACAGATACAAACTCTTTAAACATCCTCAAATTCAAATAGAATATATTAGAATATAAATACCACCATCCATACTCTTGAATAAACATTTTTAAAAATATAGAATATTTAGTGTTACTTAATAAATAAATTCTAATTTTAAATCCAAGTTCTAATTTCAGCTCTAATTTAAAAAAAATGTATGTTTAAATCCAACTCAAAAAAAGAAAATAACTTTAAAACCGAATCTGACGTATGGCTCCGCAAATTTTAGTTTAAATTTTTCAAGGTCACCTTTTATTTCTGGATTTGATTTAAGAAATATGCAGCTATAACTAAAACATATTGTCGTTTTCTTATTAATACGTTAGATTGGCAAAAACCTTTTTCGTAATCAGATTCGCAGCACATCCTTTTAATCCCCCTGAAATTCGGTTTAGTTATAATTACAAACCACTTCATCAGCTTCCGTAACCCATGCGTGTGACACTCTCGAAAGACGGATGAGTGGAATGAATAACAAAAGACCCAATGCCAATGTCGTCACCCGCTGCCCAAGCACGAAAATCCCAGCTTCTGGACACGATTCTCACGGGCCACCAAGGAGCTGGGCGGCTGTGATGGCTGTGCCATCCCGCTGCTGAGAAACCAAGTGGAAATTGCAAATCGCAAGGCGCCTTGGGAGAATCGAGCTGGTCTCGAGATCGCGCGCGCCCCTTTCGGACCCCCCATACGCACGTGCGAAAGTCGGCTATAAAATAATTGACTTGACTTTATAATTGCAATAGGCGAGCGCTGAAAGCACAAATACAGGAATGCATCATACTGTGAGCAGTCGGCATGGGTTCCCCCCTCGGGTTACCCCGGGCTCTTCAAAAGGCACCCAGAAACGCTTGCGATTGGTGCCGGACGGAATTCTCTAGGGGATGGAAGCAGCGAAGCAACCCCCATGGGAATAGGTTCAGCACTGATAGATGGTTCAGTGCTTGGATGGCTGGGAGTTCTTGGGTGGCTGTTCTACCACCTCTCTCTTTCTTTTCCTCTCTCTTTCCCTGTCGCTCTCTCTCTCTGTGCGATTGCGTTGTGGACATACCATTTTGTTTTAAGAGCTTCTGTTTTGATGGCACTTTTTGGGCCAAACAGGCTGGTCGTAGCATTCAGTCAGTTGCCGACGCTCAAGGCACAAGGATATTCGCAGCGCTTGACAGGATTCGTTAGTTGAGTTTAGAAAACCAAAACAAATCGCTTTGGCGCGAAACGGAAGCCGGAAGGCGAACCAAACCAAATCGAAAAAAAACCAAACGGAAATTGTGATTTATATATAAAGAGCCAACGTGGCCATGTCCCGACGCAAACAGGCTAAACCGCGCGCCTGTCTCAAACGTAAGTTGGGCGCCAGTGGTCAGTAGCAGGACCTAAGTCCCCAGGTGACCACCAACTGACATGGTCTCCATTTCCATATCCTGTATATGCTCCTGTGTTCTCGTGTGTCTTTGTGTGTCTTTGTGTGTGTGCATCTGATTGATTTGCTTTTGATAAACCCCAAAAGGGGTGGACACAACATTACTCTGCCAAACTTTGCTCGCGGGACCGCAAAATGTGACAAATGCAAATGGCCTCGGCCTGCGATGGCCCACCGTCCAGTCCGGTTGGGCTATTGCCATTTCCCCCCTGCCCTCCACTTTTGGGCCCTTCAACTCGACGCTCGTCGACTCTCAGCTATACACCATCAGCTATACCCAAAACCCAGACCCATACCCAAACCGGCTGCAGCCCAGCAGCTTGCAGGCATTGGTCAATCCCCAGGGATCAACACACCTAACTGTCAGTGATAGAGAGCGACCAAAAAAGGGGGGCCGGGGTTGGGGCAAAGTGGATGAGGGAGCCCTGGATTGGAGGATAAGCTAAGGGAGGAGGAGGGTAAGGGTAAGGGCAGGTGGTCTGGGGCCAGGAGACCCCCGAAACCCAAACAAACCCCAGCATGAGGTTGAAACATTGAGTGTTCTGGTGAACCAACA